TTTTTACTTCATAAGAGATCAACAAAGGAGATTTTTCCCTTTTTTATTTCATTTTTACAAGGTTTTCGGCTATTGCCAAAGCCAGTGTACACATGCTATAAAAAATTAACACCAGGGCTGCCCTTTTAATAATTATGAGCAAAATGGTTGCAACTGAAGAGTTGTAGCTTATCTTGTTGTTCTATGTGAATTATTACATATATTTTCCTGGTTATTTACACATTGTAATAAAGCGGGACTGTTTTGGTGCTCTGAAACTGATTTGTTAGCACTTACACCCACTTACTGAGATCTAAACATCTCTAAAGTATGTTAAGAATTAAGTTTACTGAGGCCACACTAACATTTTGTTACAAGTTCTCAAATTTCCTGTCTCTAATCCAAGGGGCTTTTTTTACACACTCCACGTAAAATGGGTACATATTCAAAAGGCTGACAAAAAGCAGCTTACCAGATTTTCTGTATATATTAGTCCTAATTTTTCTCACAACTGAATGCATCATCATGACAGCAGCAGTGAAGAGGCTTGCACGATCTCCCAGTCTCAAATTCAAACTAGGTAGAATAAAGGAAAAGGGATGCACACAAGCGTTATCTTTTGCTGCTGTTTTAGTCACACGCCTCCTTAACTTGCCCCACTGAAGTGATGTAGCAGGATTTTTAGAGGAGGCTGATGCTCACCTCTTGTGGGGAGACGGACTTTCCCACAAACTGGTCCTACAGCAGCGGATCGAGAGCTGTAACCACCTGCAAGCTCCTCTCTGCAAGGACAAGGTATGCTGCAGTGTCATAAGGTTTTTTTTTTTTTAAGTGGCTCTGCTAATACTTCAGGCAGTATCACTTTCTACAGAAGATGTTTTCTTTTAAAAAGTTTATAACTGATCTACCTCAGCTGACCAGAGGCGCTTGACTCTTTAAGACGCATTAATTGGAGCTGGAGAAGGTTGGGGCTTTGTCTTTTAACGCTCCTGTAATTCTCAAACAGTTAAAGCGATTCTGTCAAACTGTCACCACAGGAGAAAAGCGCATGCTTTGAAAAAAAAAAAAAAAATAATGGGAATGGTTATAACCCAGGGGTGGTGAACAGAAACAGTGAGAGGGAAGAAAACGTGCTTCCCAGCTGAAATCCTGGAGGAGACAACAGTTGCAAAATAGTTGCTTTAAGGTGTGGCTGTGTCAAGTTTAAAGAGAGCGCCCCAGCAAATGGAGGAGGTTTTGAAGCAGGAGGAAATTACTGATGGCCGCTCTTGTAACGTGGCTGTGGGGTGTTACTGCTGCTAAACCACCACTGTTTGCCCTGGTGGTGGGTTAACAGCGGTAACGGTTTTAAACTGAAAGAGGGTATGTTTAGGTTAGATATGAGGAAGAAATTCCTTACTGGGAGGGTGGTGAGGCACTGGAACAGGTTGCCCAGAGAAGCTGTGGATGCCCCATCCCTGCAAGCGTTCAAGGCCAGGTTGGATGAGGCGCTGGGCAGTCTTATCCACTGGAAGGTGTCCCTGCCCATGGCAGGGGGGTTGGAACGAGATGATCTTTAGGGTCCCTTCCAACCCAAACCATTCTATGATTCTAACAAAGGTTAACTAAAAGTCAGAAATCTCAGAAGAGAGAAGATAATGAAAATCTGTAAGAAATGCATTTTTGTCTGATTTCTCACCCCCCCATAAATAACACTAAATCAAATAAATGCAATTAATTTAACAAATGTAAACACTACGTTTTCATACCTAGTAGAGAGATGGATGCATAGGGTGGCAAGCTGAGCTTCTCACACAGAGTCAGGATTTTGAATGCCATTATGGTTTCTGTAGATGTATGTTATGGGCTGATCTAGGGGGAGATGATGTAATGAAAACAGCTGTAAGGCTTAGGATCACTTTATAGGACACAGCAGCCGCTCAAACAAGTAATTTAATCTACTGCCTAAGCAATATTGATACTTACCTGTTTTCTTACTAATTTCAAATCATAGGCAGATTTATTAGTGTTGCTACCAATAGGGTTGCCTCATGTTTCCCACAACTGAAGACTCTGCCAGATATTAACTTGTTCACACTGAAATTTTTCAAGCCTGAGGCAGAACATTTGAAAAAGTTCCAGGTAATACGGTTTAGCTGTTTCTGAGAATATGATTTGAAAAATATGTTGGTTTGCATGTATCAAAGCAAAATTATAATAACTACTTTATAGAGAAATCTCCAAGGTTATCAGGTTTTAAACTTGGGCTTGGAAATTTGTGTGAGACTGTTGGTGGTGTACCTTTTGTCATTCTTGTAAATTTACCCAAAGCAGAGCAAGTTTCAGTATTTAAAAAGAAGCATCAGTTTGCTGGTGCCGAGCAGAAGAGACAATGCCAGTGCGTAGGTGCTGAATTTGGGCAGCCCCTTCTGCTCTGGCTGGCCTCTGTCAGGGAGTGCCTTGCTTGGACTTAACTCTACAGCTCTGACTCTGGTTTGTAGCACCAGGTGCCAGACCTAAGAACAGTAAAACAGCATCAAGGAAGGAGACGGAGGAGAGCTGGTGAGGAAGGGGAGGCTGGAGCGAGGAGGTGCATGAGGACAGGAGGGGGAAGGTGGCTGGAGAACAGGCAGAGAGGCTCCTGCTGCCTAGACCCTGCGTTGTCCTTGCAGTACCTGGCCTTGATTCCACATTTTCAGCCTCGTTGCTCTCCTGTGAGCTCTGTTGCAAAGCACGTCTCACCTTCCATCCTGGTGGCTGGAGAATACTGAGGGCGCGTGCCACCGCTAGCGGGTCTGGCAGCTCCAGGAGCAGGGGTGCTTCCCACAGACCTAAAAGCTCAAAGAATGCTTGGCCCATTCGATACTACTTTTGTTCCTCATTATGCTCTCGTGATTTAGAAACTGATCATCTTCAAAATCCATCCTGCATTAAAGGAACATGAACATTGCAAAATTTAGCTCTTGTAAGCAAGAGAAACAGTAGAATATTGTCCACGTAAGTGTAAATATATCTTGTGTGCCTACATACGATGGCATAATTTTTTTCCAGTTGACTCCTGAAGTCCTCTAACAACTAAAGCTGATGGCAATGAGAGTGAGACTTGATTAAAGAGACAACACCAGCGCTTCTGGCCCTGTTTCTTATTTCCCATGCAAGATTGGCAATTTTTTTTTAATCTTAATCTTGAATATGCCCCTTTTTTTTTTTTCCCCCAAGTAGGAATTACAATCCACTACCATGTCTGGAAAGTGATGAATAGATACAGAAAAGCTGATGAGGAACTAAGTAATATTTACAGTTCTAACAGCATGAAGGCACAGGACTATGCATTTAATCACAAAGAGGAAACAACTGACTGGAACCTCACTAGGTACAAGAACAATCTAAACTGTGTCATGAACTCCACATTTCCAGACTTTTCACTTCTTGAATTTGCTGTATTACTGATTTCTAACATAGTTACAATTTTTATATAATCTCATACGGGTTTCCCAGTTTCATGACCACATATGCTTAGTACACAATGATGCAATTCAGAGTTTGTAAGAAATAGAAAACAAGGCTTAGGTAAATGCAGTCTTACCTAATATGAAAATATTGAAATATGAAAGCCCTTAACATATTCAACTCCTTTATAGAATGACATGGGAGGAAAAATCTAAGGACAAAACAAACCCACTGGATTTTGAACTTGCCAGAGATGAGGAAGATCACCTGGAGAAAGTCACAACTGCACCCGAGAACCATGATTCCAAGCTCATTTCAATTTTTTGCTCTGTGTGTCAACAAACAATACATCCATACCACCTTCTTTGTCATAAAAAAACCCACAAAGCCCTAACTTTGCTGGGCTTTGACAGCCCACAAACACTGACTGACAACAAAACACTTTTGGCTCAGAGACAGAAACAAATTTCAAAATTGACCACGATTCCTAAATATTCTGAGACACATAGGCAGAAGATCAATTATTCGTTTGAATTCCTTAGGGACAACCACACATCTACATCATACTGTGATCTTGCTAATATTAACAATCCTAGTACTTTTAAGAAAGTAAATAATTCTTTAATAAAAGCATTATCAATTTGCCAAGATAAAAATTCCACATGGAAGGGAGACATGGAAGACAGATTTATTGTGCTCGACAACTATGGGAATAGGTCAGATACGTGTTTTCTGGGCTTAGTTGATGGCTCTCATGGCGCATCAGCTGCAGAAACAGTTGCAGCAGAACTTCCACTTTTATTTCTTGACCAGCTTGCTCAAACGGATTCCTCCTACAAGAAGAGTAAGGACGAACAGCAAATTCTAGATTCTTTTGCCACAGTAATCAAGGCAGATTACAGGGAAAAAGAGAAGATTTTCTCTGATAAACCAGGCAATGACGAGACCAACAAGACCAATACTTACGAATGGATTCACAAAGCATATGCCAAGTCCTTCTGGAGAATGGATAGACTTTTACGACTGGGAAGGAACGAGGTTTCCAAAGTTCGCTGGAGTGGCTGTTCAGCGGTTACCTGTTTGGTGGAAAGAATCCCCGGCGAAGAGACAGGCTGCACTGAGGAAGAAGAAAGAAACCATTCTGAAAACACCACACATAGTCTGTTAGCCAGGACAGCCAAGGGTGTTGCTGGGTTACTGCACGTTGCTAATATAGGTATGTACATTCCACACCAGGAATTTTTTTTTTCCCCCCTCTGCCCAATAAAAAAAGAGAAAAAAATAAGCTAATCTAGAGATTTGTTGGCTGTAGATATCTGGAGATAAAAAGCAGCAACTGCTTTAACTTGACAATGTGAAGGAGACATCATAAATTCCCTTGCAACTGATACTGGTATCAGACAGTAAGCATTAAGCTTCTTAGAGAAGTGTCTTCAATACTTCAATACAGTATTTGAGTTAAAGCAGTAAAGTCAATTTACTACTGTGAAAGACACAGTTAGGAAGTATTCCATAATCCACAAGTGGCCTCTCTAAGGGTAGTAAGGACTTTAAGTCAAAAGGAAATCTAAGGTGTCATCATTTTAGGGCAGACAATCACAAATCTTCTGATTTTAGATCTGATAAATCCTTGTCTCAATGAGACATGCCTAAGATATTCTTTTTATTTATTCGTTTTGTTAAGACTGAGTGCCACCACATTTTGTTACCAGCAAACTGAAAACATGATCTGCGGGGTTCATCTTAATTACTCACTTCTGAAATAATAATTGGTTGTTATTTACTGTTGTTATGGAAGATCTATTCAGACTTGTTTTCTTAGGAAGCACTAAGACCTGTTTTCTTGCTTTGCTTTTCTATAGTGTAGAAAATCAGTTATTACAGTCAGAAACACTGACACATTCCCAATGCTTCTCCACCCAGCCCTGCTGCAGAAAACACTAGACAAAGCTCTTGCAGTTCTTAGCAGCTCATTGTATCTTCCCACTCGCCGATTTTTGTTACCAGTTAAGTTCTCTTGTGTATGTAAGGCAGCTATAAGATTACAAGCAGGATGCTGACTTTCCCATAAAGGAGTACACAAGTAGAACTGCATAAAAAAAAAAAAGCTCTTGGGTGAATAGTTTCAAATGGATTTGTGTCTAACTGTTCATTCTCTCGTGTCTTCCACACATGTCCAGCACTATCATACTTTTCTATCACTCTCCCTAGCATTAGCAGGGAGTGTGCTAACACTGCGACTTTCCACCTACAGGGGCACTCTTTCTTCCTTAGATGAGTGTACCTACAAAACTTGTAAGACTTATTCATATTTCTTCATATGAAATTTAACTGGAATTAATCAAGAGGGTCAAAGATCAGTAGAGGAAGGGAAAACCATTTGAAAGGCTTCATTTCTTCAGGAGGCAAAAAAACCCAAAGCCAAACCAAAACACACATTCCACGTTCAGAAAAAAACGATCCCTGTTTTAAATAAAGAATACTTTTGCTTAACAATAATATACAATCCTCTGCCAGTCTGAGGAACACTAAACTAACTCGAGCATGCACTGACAGTGAAATTAGTAACTGTGGTCTATCCCCTCCCTTTCCTCCCGTCCCCCGACGCTTGCCGCTATTGCTGTACTTTCTCTACCTCCGTAAGCATTTTTGCAGCTACCAGGACTTTACTGTTACTGGTATCAAAATCTGTAGTCTAGTGCTAGCTCAGATAATTCTTGCAGGAGATGCAGTCACATCTTTAATGGAACACAGGACTAACTCACATACAGGTTGCAACGTTTTCACAGCAAACAAATGCATTTTTCTTACCTTATTGGGGACGAAACCCAATTTTATTACAATGAGCTTGAGAGGTACGACGAAGGCAAGAAAATTTGGTAGAGAATTACACTCAAGTTTCCTGGTTCTAGTTACCTGCCTCCATCCTTCCCGGCCAGGTGAGGTTTTAGCTGGCTGCAATTAAAGGTACTGTAAACTCAAGCTCTGCTAATGCATTAAGGCTTGAGGTTGGTCAGAGGTACTTTAAGCTTTTTATTATTAAAGTCCACATTTTTGAACCACTGCTAAATACACATTTATTTAATCTAATACACTTAATCGTCCACCAAATGTATCACAAAGATTTGCACAACATCAAGCGTCTTTCCCCCCCCTCCCTGAATGTGTTCTTACAGAAGTATAGACGTGTTCCTTCAGCACCAGGTAAGCAACCAAAGAGGATGGTCAGGTACATGAGGCAGATGGTGGCGCTGGCCAGCTTTGTCTTCTTCATTTAGTCCCACATCAATAGGTCAGCTAGTTTTTGTCGATTCTTTTGCCCTGCCCCTGATTTGCAGACAAGGGACTTGCATCCAAAAGCAACTAGGTTTTACTCTTTCTTGCAGTCAAGTTGTTCCACGTGGGTTATATTCTGCCTTTTGTTAGGCTTACAGCTGGTGGTCTTACTCCAAGGGTTCAAAGGAAATTTTAGACAATATTCTAGTGCTCCACGGAAATCAGAGGAAAGAGGAGGAAGCAAGCACAAGGAAACATTCACACAGCATAACTTACACATCTACATTCTATCATCAATAAAAAAAAAAGTGCATCCTTCGGTTTGATATTCTGTATCACCTTCTAGAGAAATCTGCCTTCACACAGACTATACTTCACTGCCTCCTGCACTAGACAATGCCAATACTGCCCAAGAAACGCGACTACTGTATAAACAGCGCCTCCTTATAAATACTTTTCAGAGATCTATGCCGTAGTCTAGCCAGATGATATTAAAAATACAATAAATGAACACACTGCAGGCAGCTCAGTATCTGGAAAGCTACCATCCCGCTCAAGTTCCTTCTGCAAGACATCACTTTTGCCCTTATGCCAACGCATGGGAGCTGACCAATAACCTCCTCTAACACAAAAAATGGTCTTCTCCCAGCGCAGCCATGGAGGATCTCACACAATACATCACTTTGTTTCAGAGCTGCTTTCTTTTACACTCTGTGTTCAAGTCTGCTCACCTGCAGCGTTGCAATTTCTAACACTTTTCATTTCCACCCTGCAGATTTCAAAAGTGTTGAGAGAAAGGCAAAGCACCTACTGCTACTAAAGGAGAGAAGTTAGTCCTTGACTTCTCATGATGACTGTGAGAACTCTTGCTCCCTTTGGTTCCTTAATGGAGGAAGAGATTTAAGGCATCATGTTAGAAAACTGTAAATTCTATACAATGTCCAAATTATTTTTAGGTATGAGAAATTTTATACTGCTAAAAATAGTCTGAACCTGAAACTTCTTGATGACTTCATTCAGCCATAATATTTTGAAAGCACACACTCTCCTAGGGAAAAAAAAAACAGTATTTGAAAAACTAGTATAAAGGTGCAACATTTTATCAGCCTGCACTTTAAGCTGCATGAAATGTCACTTAAGACTGCTCGTAAGAGTTTAGTTTCAGTCAGAAGAATAAGGTTCTGGAATAGTGTTCTGAAAATGGGAGGGAAAAAAAACCCACAGAAAACTTTGCTGTAAATAGAACCAGATTCACTGACAGACATGTTGTTGCCTGTGGCAGTAGATAATTCAACTATGACCTCAGTTGTTTTTTTTCCCAGTCCTTAGCAGAAGGCTAACTCTTAATCTAACAGCAGTATCTTAAAAAAATCAGCATGCTATAATTCAAAATGTTGTTTCAATTTTAGGTAATGCACATGCAGTCTTATGTAAAAATGGCAAGAGTCACTGCCTCTCAAAAGAGCACAGCACTTCTAACGTAAGTGAGAGAAAACGCATACTTCAGAATGGTGGAAAAATCAGCACTAATGAACCAGATGGATTAGTAGAAGGGTACCTGAGAACTACAAGGGGTCTTGGACATCACGGAGATCCAGTATTGAAACGATCTGTTATACCTGTACCTCATACTATATCTGTCCCTATCGACAATACTTGTCAGTTTCTTATTTTAGCATCGAATGGGCTTTGGGAGGTTTTGGATTACAATGAAGTACTTGCATTAACTCTGACAACATTCACTCATTATTTGAGAATGTATGAATGCATTCAACACAATGGGACTTCTCCGTGTAAGTGTCAGTATTTGATGCCCCTCACTGAAGACAACTTAAATGACTCGGAGGCTATTAATAATCTGAAAGATGGAGTAGAGATACTGTATTCCAATAAAGACATTTTTCTCACTGACTCAAAAGGCAACCTGAAACAAAAGAAGCCAAAATGTTCTAGGAGGAACTATTTTCAAGGTGAAGATGGAGTTCCTAAGGAAAGTGATGACCACAAAACCCAGGCTTATCCAGAACTGTCTCTTTTCAGTAACAATGAAGTAAATTCACAGAGCAGAGAAATAAAACAGTCAGATTCTAGCACACAAGGTGGCTCTGAAGAACTGAAACAGTTTGAGGACAGAAAAGTTTATCTACCTAACAGTTCTCAGCCACAGTCACAGACTGCAGAGCAAGAAGAAACAGACACTAACACTTTCTGTGTGACAGGTCCAAGCTGCACCCATAAACAGCTGCAAGAGAATGTACTGGCTAAAGACATGGAACAGCCCCCCAAAAATACAAGAGCATGCCTTCCTAATTATGACTCTGGTCCACAACTGGCAGAAAAAGTGGACTACAAGGTATTCTGTGATAAACCTGCAAGTTATACTGGCCAAGAACTGCTAAAGACTGCATCACCAGTGGGTTCCAAGCCACAACCACAGTTTGAAGAGGACACAAAAACGTACCCATCCAATTGCAAATCACAAACTGCAGGAAGAGGCAGAGCCATCTCTGAGACACTCTACGACAATGCAGCAAGCTACATTAGTGAACAACTGGTAAAGACTGCGTTAGCTGCAGGTTCAAGAGACGATATTACTATTCTGGTTGTACTTCTAAATGGATGTGATAAGATACCCAATTACCTCAACATTTAAAAACTGATCATAGGATAACTGGAGTGCCACAGTACAAGCTTTTATGTTCAGCCCGTGACATGAATTTACTTGTAGTCATCTTGAATGCTGACCGATACAGTAAATCAGACATCTTGTCTGGAACTGTGCAAATGCAATAAAACCTTCTGAAACTCTCAATAAGAAACAGTAATCAAACCCCCTTTTTTTTTTAAACCACTTTATTCAAACCTGAGCACCTCAATATAAAACTAAACACTGGTGAACTGTCATTTTCCTTGCTAAATCCAGATTACTGCAAATTTAAAATCTGCACAAGTAAGTTTCTGCTATCAGTTCAACATTTAAATAGACTAATTCATCTCTTCTGACACACTTGGTAGATTTCATATAATGAAAATAACTAAAAGAATTAGTGCAATATACTGGACAGATCAAAATAAAATGTACTTTGGAAAACAAAGTTGCAAAGTTCATTACTGACAGACAGCAGTGCTTATGTTACAGATACAGGAGCATCATTTATTACTGTTCTAGCCATAAAGGAAGAACTCAGAACCCCCTTTGATTAGAGAGGAAAAAAGTTAGCTTTAAGTAACTGTACATTCTGTATACCTTTAAGCAACTCTTAAATATTACAGAAAGTATTAAACAAATGTAGACTACAATGCAGAGTACCTATTTACAGTACATCAATATCCAAATTTAAAATCAAGTTGGATGTACATAATCTTTAGTGCACTATTTTTTTCCTTAAGGGAAAAACAGAAACTGTAATGGCCAGCAATGATCAAAACCAAGAAAGAAGTCACAGACACCGAGTTTGTTGTGGTTTTACTTGAAAAGCTCTTACAGTTTGTAGAGGAAAAAAAAAATCCTAAGTAATAAAGTTGAATTTACTGGTCTGTACCCTCTGAACAGATTAGAAATGAAGTTAAACTTGATTTATCACTAATTCCTTTAGAAAACTAACTGGGTTGATATAATTTACATACAGTGTACCAACTAAAACTCCACTTTCCTGCAAGCATAGGGTTCTTAAAATTGTTAATGCAAGTATTATTTGTAATTAAATTATTAAACTATGGAATGTATAACTAAACAGCAGATATCTGCAGAAACAACCAGTTGCATCAATACTGTGAATAAGTTTGAGTAATTTTTAGACCCTGTTTCTAAAGAGGTTTTAAAGCATAACTGAGAATTATGAAAGTCCCAATTCTATTTATTATAACAGTAATCAGTATTGAGGCTACAGGAACTGGCCAATTAGGTCCACGGAAAGTAGTTCTTCTACACCCCTAATGGTAAGTGATTTTTAAAACCTTTCAACTGAAGGAAGTTTATTCCTCTTCCATCTCTCCTCTATTGCTGAAATATTACTGCCAGTGGTGGATACATGCATGTTAAAATCTTAGGTCAAAAAAACCCCACCCTCTGTATCATGAACTTGACTATTATTGTAAGTCTCTTCGCTGTTTGGAAGCAGTACTGGGCCAGGTTAAGCACTCCAATTCCATGGTTATTAACAGTTAGGAAGCGGAAGAATATTCAGAACAGTTTAAAGCAATTGATGTTTTAGTTACTGCAACATTGACTCTTGGGTGGTTGCGTGGGTTCAGTAAGGTCTACTCCTCTTGCTCTGGCAGAGTTGGCTCCTGCATTCTGTGGTTCGTTCTTGGGCAATTTTTTTGCTATAAAGTCAACACGAAATAAGAGTTAAAACTGAGATCGTACTAAGATTAATCACTTGAGTACCTAAACAGTCAACCCTGTTACTCTATAAGCATATCAATATAATTACTATAAAATCTGATTTGATTCAGTGCATTGGTAATAAAAGATATAAAGATACTTAAATTCTTAATCATTAACACCTTATCTATGATTTTCAAGAGGAAAATGCGTTAGTAACTTGAGCAGTAAAATGTATCTGCACAGGTATGCTACACCAGCAAATGATGGCTCTTGTGGGAATCCACCTACACAGAACAGGCTTTAAGATGAGGATGTTAGCACCAAGAGATACAGAAAGACTGAAAAGGCACAAAACACAGACAGAAATGGGTCAAACTACTGCCCAGCTACCTAGGCAGAATAAGTATTTGCATACAACATATAAAATGGCCCTCAGCACTACATCCAGTCTTTCCTCTTTCTTTCAAGCTATCTCTTCTCTTCAGCTCTTATGAGTCAATTGACTGTGGTAATTTTTTTGTTGTCCTTGTAGCTCCAGGGTACCTCCTTGGTCCTGACATGAAAAATAAGGGTGACAAATATTACCCTTCTGAGCAGTACCTCCTCCTAGCAATTTTCTGATGGAGAGAAAGCTAAGTTCCACAGAAAAGGACTTCCGTGGGGCTGTCTTGCACTTGTTACTGGGACGCAACAACCATCCCTATTCTACAGTTTGGCTGCATACTTTGACTCCTAAGTAATTACTTCGGCCAGCTTTTTAAAGAACATCTTTTCTGAAAAGGAACAAAATACAGATACAGCCAGAAAACCAAAAGAGTACTCATCAACAAGATGCGTTGTCATGCTAGATAATCTCAGGGTGCTAAACAATCTCATCTAGGCTCCCTTTCCCACAAAAGGCTGGACCAGATTATCTTTTGAGGTCCCTTCCATCTTGGGCTGTTCTATGATTCCGTGATAGAACCCAAGAGTTCACATGGTACTAAGCTGCTGAGACAGTACCACGGGACAAAGTACCACTATAAAAATGCCTTCAGAGCGCTGTTGTTTTGGATTCTAGAACTGTAAACATGAGTTTTTTTAACTGGAAGTTCTGAATGAGCTCTACAGCAGTCAATTTACAAGCAGTTGTAGCTTACATCCCTCAATTCTGTCCATGTTCTCATTTTTCATTTTCTCCCATTTTTGAAGATCATATTTACACATGGTCCTAAGAACTGCATCCATGTTGTGCAAAAGGCCATTCCAAGTTCCACACAATACTTACACCCTTGTCAAGATATCCCTTCAGGGTCCATTGCTGCTGAGATCTTACTCTGATGCACTGACAAAGCTGAATATCACCCATCAATGTGAAAGAATACTCACATGGACAACAAACCTTGCAGACAAAATACCCAGGTACTAATCGGGCACTGTTTTCTCAAATTTACTTTGTATACTTCATTAAAATACGGAGAGGTAAGAATTATTGTTGATATAACAAGTTACAAAAAAAATCATGATATTTTTGGGATTGATTTTTTTTTTTAAACAAGATGCAAACTGCACCTTTAAACAAATCAATTTTAAAATTTCACCACAACAGTGTAATTGAGCATTTCTGCATCATTAAATGCAGGTCTACCTTGAGCATTTATGAGAAAAATACACTTTCCATTCATACAGTTATGTGGTTTCACCCACCCCCAAGTATTTATAGTTAATATGAAGCCAGTACTTGTTATAAAGTGTTGCTATAGTGATAATTTAATTTGCATCTGCAGGAAGTTTGAGCCACATCACAAATTACCTTCTGCTTTACTGACTTGGAAAGCAGACAGTTAAGAGCTCTTTAGAAACATTTAATTTTGATAGCAACTGTTTTTCACAAAAAGAAGTGGGATAGAGAGGTCACTGTAGTGCAAAATACAAAACAGATTGAATAAGGTTATTTGATACTATGCATTACTATTCCCCAGTAGCAGTGCCACTACTGTGATTAAGCTGATTACTAAGTAAGTTTGCATGCTTTCTTTTTCCTCCACTTCCAAAATTTTGTTAACAATGAAATACAATTTTGTGTCTATCAATGGAATTCACAAAATTTCTCAGTAATTTATACTTACTATTACATGTTAGCATCTTTACGGAAATCCTGAAGATTATGTCAGGGCTATATACATTAGTAAATTTACTTCTCACGTGAAGTGTCCTTTACTTATACTCAGACACTGAATTTAAGCACACCTTGTCATCTTTGGCACAACTTTTGGATTTCAGATAGCTGCATTTGTAATTCAAACAGAATTTTAACACATAAGTGTATTTAGCAAATATTTTGTTTAAACTAAAATGAGTACTTGACCTTGCTTTTTAAGTAAGTCCATTATCATTCTCCCATTTTGAAATATTTCCAGCTTCAGTTACCACTGTCTCATAAAAGGTACATTATTCCAGGTTCTGCACCTAATCAAGGCAGTGTGGCATCTGCTGCAAACCTACTACCAAAAGGCACACATTTATACACTTTCACTTACGTTGTTACACTCATTTGATTAGCAAATGCCAAGCACATCTTACAATTAAAAAAAGCTGTGTAAAGCTTTTTATGGTTACTATACCATAGGAAAGGTGTTTTTTTGTATATAACAACTATAAGCTTAATTTTGCTTGAACTCGTTTCATCATGGAATCAAAACAGGTACATGGAACTTACTGACAGAATTCAAAAGTAACCTAGCTTAGTTATTCCAAGCGCTTTGGTGCTTGACAGAAGACCTGTGCAACTGTACTTCCAGTAAGTTTATCTGACTTCTGAACATTAAAAAGGATCTGAAATGGCCTAAGGAAACTTCAGTGGCAGAAATAATTTAAGTGAAAAACAAAGATCTTGGGTTAGGAAGATTGTGATGGTATGCATCTCACGAAAACAATTCCCTTACGTTCTCAGTTCATTCGTAAACTCACCAATTGCCATGAATATTTCATTTACGTTCATAGATGTTTTGGCAGATGTCTCCATGAACAATAAGCTGTTGTCGTCTGCATAAGCCTGTGCTTCCTGAAAGTTAAAATAAGAATTCATTACTTCTTTTAAGAAGAAAAAAAAAAAAAAAATAAAAAAATTCACAGAATCATTACACATTGTATATTTATTGCTACTTAGGAACAATTTCTGTACTATTTTGAAAGAAAGTTTGTTGAAACACTCATGTGACAATGCGTTATTCATCAGCTATGAAGAAGTTACAATTCCATCAAACAGTTAAACACTTAGAAATACAATCTTAAAAATCTTTACTCATCTTAAAAATATCCAGATAGAAATATCTCAGGCAAAACTAAATAATAAATAAAAATATTTCTTAAAAAGACAACCCTGATCCAGAACGCTAGCTGTGATAGCAAGAATGAATAAGCTCCAGAAAGTGCCATCAAATGTCAGAAAGTCTATTATTACCCTAGAAAGAAGGCAGCTTGTGAAGTATTGAGTCTTTCAACCATTGAGGTGGATGGATTAGAACAGTTTCATTATCCTGACAGAAATTCACAATTATGAAACAAATAAGCAGTATTAAATATCTTGCCACATTGTCTCCCTTTTAAGTCTGAAGTTTGATCTGGAATACACCATTTATAAAAAGATTCCTATTTTTGCCATTGCCTGTTAGCCAATTCAACTGAGAATCCCCAGCTTCTTATGATTACATAACTGCCTTTGCATTTAATAGGAAATCTGCAAAAAGCCAAACTAAAGAAAACCCATGATGAAAAAATAATCTACAGCATTCTATATTCATTTAAGCGATATCTGCTAAGATCTATGCAATGATATCTGAAGTAACACATTAACACCTAGAATCCACACTAACAAAAAAACAAACATCTGAAGAAATACTAAGATTGTAATTGTACAAAAATAGTAAAGGTAGTTCTAGTTTGGTAATCAAATTTGTTTAAGTTTTGACTGCGCACATGTATGAAATTTTTGTTAAATACCACAATTTTTCATAAAACACAAAGGTCTTCTGTCACACAGCTTTATGTGACAATTGATACGGAAGCACAGAATTAGAAAACAGAGTTGTTGAATTCTGGCAGAAAAATACCTAACACACTGAGAACCTTCATAGTCCGACTCTATAGTTAGAAAAGGATTCATTGCTATACACAACAGTATCTCAACACAGTGGCACCAAGTACAGATTAAAACCATAAGAGAATTAATGACTAATAAATATGATCTCAATTCAAACTCTATCAACCATGAATGGACCAGAACCATTTGCACTAAGTTTTATTTGCTTTAGAAGCTATTTTCTGATGATTTGGTTAAACTTTCTGGAAGATAAAATATAGCAGTGAGAGCATACTAAACCAAACAGAATGCCGTGAAAAGCACAAATAAATCTTGAATGCTGCTTCAGCAGTTTAGCCTAAGCAAGTTAAGCACATCAATCAGCTTTGCATCATATGACAATCAAAATTCCCTGTTGTCAAGTCAGAAAGAATGGTTTGCACTGAGAGTTACTGCTGTCTCATCCATTGAAACTCTAGTTACTAGTAATTTAGGATAGAAGACAGGAAGAAGTCACATCAAAGAACAGAAATTCAATTAGCCTTAAAGATATGCAAATAAATTAGTTATTCCTCAAAGTCAAACTTAATTACTCAAAAAAGTCTATCACTACATATCACTTGAACAGAAATAGATTTCTCAGTAGCACGTATAATTTAATTAGTCTCAG